TGTAAAGTAGGACCTGAAGTTTTTACAGTATAGATATAAAGTACATCCTAATAGTAAAGTAGGACCTGAAGTTTTTACAGTATAGATATAAAGTATGTGTTAATAGTGAAGTAGGACCTGAAGTTTTTACAGTATAGATATAAAGTATGTGTTAATAGTAAAGTAGGACCTGAAGTTTTTACAGTATAGATATAAAGTATGTGTTAATAGTGAAGTAGGACCTGAAGTTTTTACAGTATAGACGTAAAGTACATGTTAATAGTAAAGTAGGACCTGAAGTTTTTACAGTATAGATATAAAGTACGTGTTAATAGTAAAGTAGGACCTGAAGTGTTTACAGCATAGACGTAAAGTACGTGTTAAGTAGATATTGTTATAAAAGGAAACATTATAGTATTGTAAAGTTCTGATGACCTATTGAGGAGATATTTAAAATACTGTTTCGATGAATAGTCTCAGTCATTCCTACATAGACAGTGCTGTGACCTACGTGATAACATTTTGCAGAATTAGGAATTTGCAATGCACTTAAGGGATGTACTAGTTTCATTTTTAATGTAGGAATATACCTATTTTATTCTCAATGTTTCACTACTTAATTGGAAAAACCATGATATAGAAAATAATATAAAATGAAATGTATAGTTTTCTTGAACCAACATTGAATTTAGTATGAATAATATTTAAAGTTTAATAATAAAAATTATTTAGGTGAGAATCAGTGGGAGAGTACAGGTATGGAAGAAACTCAAGATGTGCTAGTCATTAGGGGACTTGAGCAGAACAGGTTATATGAAATCAGAGTTATTACTGTAGATGGACACTTACAAACTGCTAGTAATGTAGAAGAAGTCAAGATAGTGGATTTAGGTAAAACCTGCTGTTCTTTATTATTTAGAATGTGTAATATAAATTATTATCATTCTGTCTAAAATTCTTTAGAAACACTGGAATAATGTATGGTAAATATCATGCTGCCTCTGTAGATAGTCTATTTACTAGTTTGTTCATCTTTTCTATATCGAAACACCATCAGTATTCTGTGCTTAAAGTAAGATTATTCATTGGTGTGTGTTTTTTGTATCCAAACACCTTTAGCAGCATCAATATTCTCTGCTTAAAGTAAGATTATTCATTGGTGTGTGTTTTTTGTATCCAAACACCTTTAGCAGCATCAATATTCTCTGCTTAAAGTAAGATTATTCATTGGTGTGTGTTTTTTGTATCCAAACACCTTTAGCAGCATCAATATTCTCTGCTTAAAGTAAGATTATTCAT